GAATATTTAATGTGTTTGTTGGGATGTATATATAGAACCCCAGTAACAAATTCATGGAGAGCTAGGAATTATGATAACCTCAGATGAATATGGTTTTGCTCTGTGATTTTTTTATTCATATTCACTGTTAACTTCTCTCACCACCTAATTGGCAAAATTATATAAGTACATAAAAAAGGCTTAGGTTCTGGAGTAATTAGCATTATTAAGTGAAGTTTGTGAGAGGCTAGAAGCCCCTGAATTTGAGATTTGTGACTTTGATTAGAGGGCTTAATTAACTGTGGAGACATGTCCAGTCTGTATGTGCAGTGTCTGAAATCTCGTGTTGAAAAAGCTTGGAAGGAGGAAATGCGGAACCATGAACAAACTTTCTGTCCCACGGTGCATGTGCAGGTAATCCAAACTAGATATTCGGTTTCTGATGTATTGTCATATATTCGTAGAAGCTATAATATTGGCATGATAGTATTGTGATGGTCCACTTTAAAATGTGAATTTATATTGCTGTGTCCTTACAATTTTCTTTTCACACCTGTTGGTGTGAAAAAAAGTCATAGTCATAGATGTAGGACACAACATACGCAGTCTGCTCTGTTAGGAAGCCATCATTTTGGCATGTCATTTTGCCACGATGTCTTGTCTGATTGCCAGGTTGTGCTTCCTCTCCTAGCAGAGGTAGAGAAGTACCAGATATATGTTGAGAATTCATTTTCTTGTTCACATAACCAGGATAGGATGCCTTTCCTATTTGTTATAATGATGACAGATATTGAGTACAGTGTACTGTAAAAAGCTGGTATAAACTAGGTTAATGAACAACATGGTACAACATGACTGTACATACCAGGTACAATGACTGACATGTGAGTAAAGGGTTAGCAATTTATATTACAATATATTTCTCTTTTTGATTCTTTTTTAAAACTTTTTTTTTTCAAAATTATTCATCCATCAAATTCTCTTTAATTATATCACATTTAATTAATAATGGTAAGAAGTCATCTAAAAAAAAGTTTTGAAAAAGTCACTAAAAAGGCTGGTATATATATCCACCCTATTTTGTAAATTCTAAGTCAGATCATATAACAGAATCATAAGAGAAGTCATGAAATGCCAATTTGTTTTTGCTTTATACTGTGGACAGACATCAATGCTAATTTTCTAGTTGAAAATTAAACAAATATTACAGATATCTATGATATGAAAATCTTGAAAGTTTTGGTAAATATTTAGATTTTAACACTTTAGTTCTTTAAAAAACTTCAGTTTTTTTTTTTTTTTTTTACATCTCATACTCCAATTTATGAACATTGGACAGGTATAAGCTTGAAGGAGAAATTCCTTAGTTTCAAAATGTCTTACAGTTGCCCTTTCCTGGTGGGCAAATATTTTAATTATGACTTCATTGGATCAAATATTTTTTAACAAAATACGTTTAGAAGTATAAAATGGTAATTGCTCTAAAAATTAAGATTTAATTTCAATGACATTTTTTTTTTTTAGATAAAGGTGTTTATACACTGTGCATTACAGAATGAACATCCTCAAGTTTAAAACTTATCAGATAAGTTCCCCCATCAAACGCTTTATTGTCCCTGGCAGACAGACATTCTTATTTCTTCTGCAGCAGAGATTAATTGCCTCTGTCTTCTTTCTTTGTTTTACTAGATGTATAGCAAACTAATTTCAGGACATATGGTATAATATTCTTAGATGAAATAAATTTAAGAAAAAAAGAAGAAAGAAAAAGACTTAATACAAGATACAAGATGTTGCAGTATCTCGGCAGATTGTTAACAATGCAGGGTTATTGACCATGCAGATTAAGGTGTTTGACCTACTCCTTAGTCACTGATACAGATTCTTTTGGATTGAATCCAATTTACACATTATCACAGAGGCAATCAATAAAAAAAGTCTTGACAGCTCAGGATAATGGTCTGTGATGCAATATGCCATGTTCACTTACCTCAGGTGACCTCTCCTGCTTTTCAGCCAATCAGGGGAGTTAAAATTGACCTGTGCACATGAAAACAAAATAGACCATAAATACTAGGGGAAAGCAATTATTTTCACAGTGTTTTGGGTCACAGTATCTGATATCAAGGATTTTGGAGGACATTGTTTTCTGTCGTGATGTTGTTAAGGCAGCTATTTACAAAATGTGTAGAATGTCAAACAGAGAAGGGTAGGACTGAGAGAAAGGTCAATGGAAACTCAAGAAAGTCCAGAAAGACCAAGTCCAAGGCTCGAGGTCAAGAAAAGAAAGTAAGATCTTAGATCCAGTAATAAATAAAGATTTTGAACTGATTTTTTAACTGTTTTTTGAATACCATAATATGTTGGATTTTTTTTTCCTTCAGTATCTGTGATACCCAAAAGTTGGAAAATTTGAGGAAAATACTTTTTTTTCTATATGTGATCATTAACATGGCAGCAAATGACAAATACCATTAACACTTATAGATCTGCTTCTTTAAAAGGCTGGGGTCAGTAGAGTGCTCGCTGACAGTGGTCTGAAAGTTGTAGGTTCAAGCCTCGACAGCTGACCCCGACAAACCTAAGATGTAAGAAATAAGTAGCAACTGTACCTTTGTCAAGCACTTTGCACTTTGACATGAAAGTTGTGTCTTTTTGATGAGACCTTAAAAACCTACTGGTAGGTTCCATGTCATGTCATGGAATTTACCCTCACTGCTCATTGGCCCTGAGTGCCCAGTAAATTTAGGTCTAAATTAGCACTCCACCTGTACAATCATGATGATTTCTCATATGAGTAAAAATAATAATACAGTAATAACCAATCATTTAAAAGGCTAGGGATGTCTGACTTGAAAATTTATATTTCTGGATGAAACTTCCTTTTACAAAATTTTAAAATTATTGCAGCAGAAAAGGGTTTTGTTTTCCTGCGTATGTCATAGGATTTGGGTCAAATTTCAACACAGAACCAGACCTCAACCAATTTTTTAAAAACATGTATATATAACACATTGTTTCTACATTTCTTTATCAATTAATCAGTACTTTAATGCGTATTTTATTTTAATAAATTAAATATTAGCTTGGTGATGCAAAGCAAAGAGACAAATGAGAAAATGGATAGTACACAGTTAATGAATTGGTTTTTGTGTGTAAATGGTTTTACCAGTCTATATATATTAATAATGAACTCAATCGGTAAAAATATATGCATACCTGATCACAGTTAAACAAACTTTGCAGACAGATGATGCGATTTTGCCTTGAATGTGGATTCAGATTTCAGAGAGAAAACACATTTGTTTTCATATACAAACTGAAATTTTAGCCTGAATTGTTCATAATTTTTCTAAAAATAAATATATTAGCTCAGATATATAATGATGAAATTAAAAAAATCTTAGTTATATGGCATGAGCATTATTATCTTAATATGTGGATGTTTTTTGTTTTTTTGTAAGAAACTTGATATTAAACTTCATATTAAAAGTTGATATTTAAGACCATCAAGTTGCCGGTTAGCATTTCATCTTGTTGATATTTGACTTAATTTGATTAATTTGTTTCTTTAAGTCTATTAGACATCTCACATCCCTTTGTAGAAGAAGGAAGAAGATGGTATCTGTCAAATTTGCTGAAAATAATATATTTATATATACATGTGTAGTGTTTTAAAAATCTTAATTACATGGACCTGTTAGAAATCTTTTCAGAGCACGTATAACATGATGAACATATGATAGAATGTGGTGTTTCATCATGCATGGTAAAATGTATTGTTTCAATTTCAATCATCATAGTAAAATGTATTGTTTCATCACAGTAAAATGATTTTTTTTCCAAGTATGATATTTATATTGATCTTTTTTTCCCAACTAGTTAAACAAAATATATGCAGTATACATATCTTATTCAATTCTAAAAAAAAAATTATGTTAGCAAAATACAAATGTAACAAAAATAACAAAACTTTGATTTTCCTTTCTACTAAAATTTCATCTTTTTACCTCAGTGAGAGGAAATTTTTTTTTTTTAAAATGTAAGTAAACAAAGTTTAAGTGTAAATAACTGATGAGTAATGAATGGTTGTTAATGAGATTAGTTTTGAGCAATGAAACCTAGCTGTGACATACGCTGATAGTACGTCATTATTTACCTGGATCTAACCATCGGTGCTCGGAGGGTCATGAATTGACACAAAATATGACAGCTAGAGCAGATCACAAAAACACTCCTCTGCATGTGAAGTCATTTATGGCCTTAATTTGTTTTGTAAACAAACAGGGTATTATAGATGTAGATAGAGATATGTTGTCATTTTGTATTTACTATTTCATTGAGAAAGGAGATTAACCTTTTGTATATAATCTATATGTGAAAAATTGAATTTTCACTTCTTTGACTGCATTCATAACCTTCAGACATCTGTACTTGCATACACTCAGCGTGAGTTTGGTCTCTTATGATTCTCCTCCATTGCAGAAAATTACCACAAACAATAAAATTGATACATTTATTGTGTAGAGGTTTGTTCTTTTACTTTATATCTGCCACTGCACAGGGTTAGAAGGGCAAAATTTACAAGGGCATGTTGGAAAAAAAAGTATCTTTCTTTAAAACAGGACAGTCATTTTAAAATTCTTTCCTATTTTACTATTGAATAAATTATAAATAATTTTAATTAACTTATATCAAAGTTAGTATTAAATGTATTTGGTGTATAGTAGAATCATTTTGATTGGTGGAAGTCATTGTTCATTGGAAAGCAAAATTTTACTGGTTTAGGGGATGTAATTCTGTGGGTAACTCGTATATACAGAAGATTCAATGAATGAATATATTGACCAGTTGTTCACAGGGATGTAAATTTGGGGATAAGGGTGACCCACAAAATCCACGAACATTGGCCCTCCATGAACAGTAATGATTCCATAGTATTGATTATTTTCTGCTCAATATGCAAAAAATATAATTATATAAAAAGTATATAGCGGTAACTTTTCATTTTGCACCAACAGGATCTTGGAAATTTTGCCATGCCTCTCCTGGAACAGGGTGTAAATGATGCTACAAACCACAGTGATCTCCCCGAGGGAGAGTATCGTCCCCGCGCAGGATCCACAGGGTTCAGGGGGCTGTTCAAAAACAAACAACGCAAACAGTCAGGGGATGATGATATGAAACACTCTCAGTCCACATCAGCCAAAGTGAAAAGTTTTTTTGCTGAAACATTCAGACCTAGATCAAAATCTGACCTCTCTGGGGTGAAAAAGCCCGGAAAACGACATAGTGCCAAAATGGATCAGTCCATGGATGAGAGTCATTTACGAGATTCAATATCACCTGGTAAAACCGAACAGTTCAGTCCTCCTGGTGGGGGACTTCCCCCAGGAATATCTAATCACAAAGGTCAGGATCAGGTCTCCCCTATGGGACAGTTGTTAGGGGGACAGTTGGGGGATAATAATAAACACCGTCATTCCTCAGGGCAGGCTGAATTCATGGATAGATTTAGGACTAGATCAAATTCAGATTCTAGAGCAAGGCCCCCAAAATGGAAGCTGACCCAACAGGTAATATATGTGGTCAATGAATTTTATTAATTTTATCAACTGTATTTCAAATTCCTCAACAATATAAATATACTATAATGCATATTAAATAAGCATCATTGAATGGATATAATATTTACTGTCAATACTGATTGTGTGTTATTCTTTCAGAGAAGTATGAGCCCACCTCACAGTCCATCAAATCGTAAGTAACAATACGTACGTGTTAAAGCGAAAGTAGGGAATTCCCTTAATCTAAAAATAAATTATTTAGCCATCAGCAGTTGCTGATGCATTATGGGTTCAGGAAGTCTAGAGTCAGTACATGCGACCTCTCCAACTAGAGATGTAAGGAGCGGGCACTTGAATAACTCTGTTAAATATATAGTAATTTGTGAGGGAGATTGGGTAAACTTGCATCCTGGGCTCTGAGATTTCGACCTCTAGAAGGAGAGAGGGCATGGAAGCGAAGACCAGTCGGCGCCGATCCTCGGGAAGCAGTGGTTGTCCCGCGTCGTCAGGTACTTGGTTAGGGTCTCCATTTTATAGCTCTATTGATCGGTTATCCTAATGATTCATAATAACAGTCGTATAAACATTATTGTTGATCTAATTATTTATTGTGTATTGTCTGCGTAGAAAGAGTTTCCAGTAACATTTGAAGTATACTTTTTAAAACGAAGGTGACCGCTGGGGCTTGTCGGTGCATTACTGTCAGTATGTGTCATAAATTATGTGTATGTATGGGCTTGCAATTTATTCACTGATATTCCTTTAGATTTATTACGTTGTTGCTATTATTAAAACGGTTGCTATCTGTGTTAAAACGTAAAATTTATACTAGGCATTACTTGAATAGGCATATTGCCCTAACCAAAGATTTTGTTTTTGTATTGTACAATTATTTAATTAATAGATTTAGTATATCAATAATTATGAGGCTACAGACTGAAAATTGGTGTCGTCAATTTACTATTTAATATGGTAAACTTTGACAATAAAATTCTAATCTATATTTTAACTTGTGACTACTGAAGTAAGATTTTCATCTTATGATAAAAAATGTCAAAGTACAGTGTATTCTGAAGAAGCACAAAAACAAATTTATCATATTTCAATACGATGAAAGTTTAAAATGATGAACATGAGAAAATTTAATATAAAGAATATATAGCAGTGGCGTATATTCCATGTAGACAAGAGACTGTACCCTACACATCGTTTTTTCAGGGATAAAATTTGGTTTAAAAAAAAAAGGAGGGGGAGAAAAGTTGATAAATCTTATGTATTATTTTGTTGTAAATGCCAAAAAAAGCATTCTTAGCAATCCGAACTTTTATATCTAGCCAACATTCACAGTTTCAAAACTATTTCTAGCTGGATTTTTTAAATCTGAAATGAGTTAAGTGGTCTTCATATCGTGACATAAACTGAAAATATGTTTACTGTACAATATTATTTTCACTTGTCAAGTGTTAATCGTAAATGTCTTTGAATTTGCAAAAGTTATCCATCCAACAACACAATCATGTGTTATTTATTGAGAAATATCGCTGAAAAACAATTTTTTTTCGAAACAAGTCGGAATTCACTATGGTTCAGACAGTACTCACCATACATCGGACATACGGTATTTTGAACGAAAAAATATCATACCTTGAGCTCGGTGCTTTAAAATTAGTAATGTCAAAACATTTTTATCTTTCATTTAAATGTAAACCTTATAGTTAAATTTGAATGACTATTTCGATCCATAAATTTGAAGAGATATTAGGTGCATCACATTGCCTTAGAAAGGCTTTACAATGCTAGTAATATGCCAACTCGTGCCTTTGTCTCGTGGGTTATCATCATCCAGTTTAAAGAAATAAACTGAGCCCACTTCTAGTTGTTTTATATCGATAACTTGTATTTTCTCTAAAAATTTAGAGTGTTTATTTTCTATTTCGGCAAAAAACAGCTGACATTTGAGTTTTATATGAAAATGTAAGTGAAAAATATACCCATGCATCAGAAAGTGTCCAATGCATGGTTAATTTGTGTCCGATGTACGGTGAAATAAACATACTACTAAAAAACAACTCTAAAAAATATTCTACAAACGTTGAAGTAAAATTTTTAAAAAATTTCTTTACAATTATCAATCATTGAAAAATTTTACCTAGGTCCGACTCATTCTGTTGAAGTCTATTTAAAAGAACAACAACTCTAAAAATTGCAAAATCGTAAAATTCTGGTTACGCCCCTTTGATGATGCAAAATATGACGTAATTTCAAGGCCATTCTTGTGGTAACTTTATCACAACATGAAACTAAAAATCGGCATCATTAAAAAGTTTAAATCTTCACCTTTAAGATAGAAACGAGTAAAAACATGGGGAGACTCAGGTTCAATGAAAGTTTATTGCTTAAAGTTGTCCAAAGCAAGGTATGTGTCCTATTCATGGTTAACTCACCCTAAGGAATGTTTTTAAGTTTTGTGTGAGTTAATTGTTGATGTGTAAATTGCAGTTGTCACATAGGCTTATTTTATGAAGTGTACGAGCACTTCATGAAAAATATGCGCACATGCAAGTTCTGTGTGATTTACCCACCAATGATTCAAACTAAACTTTAAAAAAAAATCTTTAAATTTACATTTTATGTGTTTAAAAGCACCAAAAATATACTGATTGTTTGCATTTCCCACTTTCTATAGCTATATCATTATATTTTAATTGACATCTCTGTAGCCTCATTGTGACGGCACTTTAGTGAAAGTTTCTCGATGTATATTTATATGCAAGAGTATGCATGAAAATGGCATTTAAATCAATTTCATGATTGTTATTAGAAAAACAATGGAAATGTAATTTTATGATCCACTACTGTACTGGAATATGTGAGAAAATCTCAGGATACTGAGGATAGTACACCTAAAAAGAAGATAATTAATATGTAAATTAAATTAAAAATGGGGAAAAGAGTATTGAAGTTTCAATAGATATGTTGATATTGAATGCTCTAGATTTTCAATTTTTGAGACTAAATATATTGGGGGGGGGGGGGGGGGTCTTTGAACATGCAACCTGCCATCCATGTTCTTTGAGTGTTAGTTCGAGCAGTTACATATTTTATTGAGACCTCTCCACCCCACCCCACCCCATGACATTGATCTTGGTAATTGATGAAGAAAATTTGTTACAAACATAGTGTGAGGCATTGGTTAGTCAGGTTTTAACTATCACAGTTTTTCCCTTAGGCCATCATTTTTTTACAGTTTTTCCTTAGGCCATCATTTTTTTAATGTATTATGACCCATAATGTTCAAGGTGGGTATAGGTAGGTAGGTTACTTGTTGTGGAGTACACACCTGATAACCATTTCTGATCATGTATCATCTCTGAATCATAAAAGAAGGGCAAGAGAAATAAAATACAGACATCACATTGGTGACTGTAAATCAAGAATTTATCATGATTGCTTGTTATTAAATCCATTTAAGGAAATCGGCGTGGCATGACCAAAACTTTTCTGGTGCATTGAAAGGGAGATTATATGAATTTTAGATGCATGGGAAAAAGTATAGTTATTCCTCTTTGTCTTGTGTAAATGAAAGTGGGGGGAAAAATGATATATATATATTCCTAGTATGGTGTACAGATTTCAAGGGGCATACTATCTTATTGTTTTTGTCACTTTTATGGCACATGTTATCAGACTTGTCGAAATTTTGAAATCACTGTCAGACATTTGGTCTGACAAAGTCAAATGTTCTGTTGGACCGGACGAAATTCTGTCAGACCAGATACATGTACCTTATTTTGACGCTGAGAAAGGAAAATAAATAATAGCACCAAAATGCCCTTTAATATTTTCAAGCCTTCAATCTCACAAGTTTCTTTTCTTAGGATAGAGAGTCTTTAATAAGAGACATAAATAACATATATTTTATGTCTTTCCTGTAACAATTTAAATTGACCATCGTCACTACGCTGCGCACACAGCCATCTCTTCTGTGTTTGTGACCTTCAGTTGCGCATCCCGATCCTGACCTTTTTTAAGTTTGCGTCATGCTAGATTTTTTCAAACGGTCATTATGACCGGCATTTTCTTAAAAGTCATCAGTCCAGACAAATTTTTACGGGCCTTGCCGACAGGACCGACAGATTTCGACAAGTCTGTGTTATATGACAAACATTAAGTAAATCTGCTTTGCTGGAGTGGCTAGTCCATATGCAGCTTGGAAGCGATACATTACATGGCTTTTTTTGAGTAAGTTTTCCTATACTTGTTGTAAATTTGAGGAAGCATGTAGGATATTTGATCATTCAATCATGTCAGTTAGTCATTCCTATTTACATAGCATCATACTTGTCAAGTTGGATTTAATATGCCACAGGAAGCAAATATGGTTGATTTTACTCATTAATTAGCACAAAATAACCTCAGTGGAATAATGCCCTGGTATTAAAAAAAAAAAAATTATATAGACACATATATATAATTGTGTCTATATAATTGTGACACAATTATATAGTGTAATTCTCAGAGAGGCGTTCAACAAGCAAACAAAGAAAATCAAACACACTGTGGATGCCAATTTGTTGCATTATGGAACAAAAAGTAAAATCAATACTGGGCATTTGGTCCAGATTGATAGAAAGTGACCATCAGACTGTGTGAATTTTTAAATGAGTTTGTCCAACTAACCTTGGCAAACACTGCACACAGTGGAGAAATCAAAATGCACAAATTAAGAATCAGTTAAATATTTCATCTGTTCAGTTAGAGCAGAAAAAGTAGAAAATCTGTCACCATTAATAGTCCCAGCAAAAAAAATCAATGGGGAAAAGTTCATGCAAGGTCCAGTCTAATGCAATAGCTAAAACGTTATATTAAGGCATCTCGGTGACACTCCTTGGGTTTATTACAGAAATCCATTCAGCACGTACAAAAGAATCAATGAATTATTTGCTTTACCTTAGAAATTCTTGCTTATACTTTCATCATGCTGTTCTTTGAATTTGTCTCCTACCTGTGAAAATCTCCATTTTCCTTCGATACATGAGATAATTGTCTTATTCTGTGAAATGAAATTGTGATCAGCAGGGACTAAATTATGATGATTGGCCCTCAAGATTAATTAGCATGACCTGCTTTATTATTGTACACTCTCGTTTATTTATGATCTGACATTGTCATGTCCCTGGAGTGTCTATTTTG